AAATAAAGTGTGGTTATGAATCGTACAGTGGACCCGCGTATAATTGAATAACACGACAGTTCACAGTATTTACTTTCCAGTTGTTGGAGTTTGTTATCAGTAAATTATGAAAAAAAGAGGTCGTTTTTAAATCAAATTTTATAGAAATCATACATCATACTGATCATCATCACCATCATCCCCACTGCTACACTGGAACTGCTGCATCCAGCGTTGATGCATCAGGATTCACTTGTTTACTTGAAAATAGCCATGAGATATTTTATTATTACAGGTTAAAAAAATACATTTTTGGGCTCATCTCAGTAAGGCTACTTCCAGCTGCTCCCTTATTCACAAGAGGTCACCACAGCAGGTAGCTCAGCATGATTTTATTTTATTTTTTATGAATAAAATAAATATGGGTCACTGTGCACCCAGCTCCTGCTGATGTGTGTCTCCAGAATTAAACCTGGAATCTTTGACTTGTGAGCAGATGTGTAAACCACTACCAATGGAGCCACTGGTAAATGTTAAAACAATGGCATGGCTTGTTTCACAGCATGATTTTCTACAAGGACATTTTCCATACTTACATTATCTCTCCACAACCACACATCTGCCTAGCTACAGGGCTAGGACAACAAGGCTGTAAAATTAAAAGAAAAAACCCCTTTACAGTCACAAAGTGGCAGATGTGTTTTCATACATGACTAGAAACTTTTTTTTTTAATTCAACCGTTTTTGTTTTTTTTCGTGTGTGTTCAGGCTCTGCTAAGAAACAAACAGCCAAATAAACAGTAAATATCTAAACGGATCTCAGTTGAAACACAGTCTGGCCTACAGGAGCCATTCCAATTGGTAGGTCCTTAATCAACAGCGGCTTTCATTAAACAGACTGAGTTTTGCAGGAATTAATGCATCTGCACGAGGGAAACTACACATCTACAGTTTTATATATCGCGGTAATAACCCACACACTAAATATTCGGGCCCACGGTAGAAATTTGCGTTTTTACCGCCCACACTGAGATGCTGTAATCTGAGCTACGGGGCTGGTTTCTCCGACAGACTGCCCATTTCCTCCAAACCAAGACTCGACGACAAAGTCTCGACTGTTCACTGCAGATGAAATAAGGCGAAAGTTGTTTCTCTCTCTTAAACTCATTCATTCTGATATTTTCGCACTTTTATTTTTAAAGTAACTTTACTCTGCTGATCAGTCGAGGGGAATAACCTGGGGAGCTGAAATAAATCAGACGGCTTGTCTCACTTACTTGATGACTTGAGTCAATCAGATAACCCGGTCTCATTGATTAAGCCCTCGCGCAGACTCAGACGCTACACCGCCGCATTAAAAAGGGGACACATGGCTGCATCTGTGGATAGCAGATGTTCCTGTCAAACCTGTGCTGCTGAGGTTAATGATTTGCTGGTTATCTCGTACTTAGTACTTGAGCGTGGAGTTTGGAGTCTGCCCTCCGCTCCGATAAAACAAAGCAGAAGAAGCTTGGAGCTGCTTTTCCTTTCCTTTTTTTGGCCCTGTGGTGCCACTTCATCCACTGACTGATTTTTAAATTCATCTGGCCGCAGAGAGAGGACGCACAATGCTGACTTTTGTTGTGTTCTTGATTTGTGCAGCCATATCTGTCTCAGCTTCTGCCAAAGGTGAGTTGATGAGTCTTTCTGAGGGGACTTTGGGGATGTTTAGAGGAAAGCTGTCAGTTATAGCGAAGCCTGATTGAGTTTATTTGGGACTAGAAGATTGATATCTTGATTTGTAGGTATTGGTCAAAACTCTGGCACTTTGCTGTTTTCTTGAGGCGTTTACAGAAAAGAAATGTTTGTTAGTTACTGATGGGCTTGTTGTTCCTTGCTTCTGAGACACTGAAACTTTCAAAGGCACAAATGAATGAATGCTGGCAGGAAAACAACCATCACATTCAATGTCAGTGGAGTGGCTTCCCATATAGTGCTGTTTGATGAAATCACCAGCTTATAAGAGGTAAAGGAGACCTAACATAAAGGCACGTAATATGTGCCATTTGTAATGATGACTGGCTTCAGATCTCTCTGAAATATCCTTTGAGGTTTCCCAGGGAGCAAAAAGATCCACAAACTGATCAAATAGGCTTCAGGGTGCACAGTGACCCATGATGAAATCAAATACTGACACGTCAGTCTGTCTTCCCCTGTGGAGTAATCTCATAAAGGGTGTCACTAATAGAGCCCGGGAGAGAGTTTTATCTTCTCTCACTTGGAGCACACCCAGTTAAATGACCGCTGATTGAATCACAACAGCTCTACAAACGTACCCACTATGCAGTTTGTCCATTTATACCAGGGAATTTGTTGCAAAATATATGTTTTTAATATGAACAAGTTACTTTGATATAACTGGCAGTGTATGCGGCACCTCAGTTCATCTCAGCATTGCTCTGAAGTTAAATTAAAAGCTCTAAACTTTCAAATCTGCACATCACTTCTTCTAAGTGTTTTAATAATCAGTCTAAAAGCTATTTATTTGATGGCATTTAAAGTTTTCTACTAAGCAGAAACTTTTCAAATGAAATAAATGACCAAATTATGTCTTAGACTTTCTACAAACCTGAGCTGTTGTGTTATTGATGTGATTTTCTGAGAAACACTATCAGCTTATCAGCAACTATTCCTCAAATGTAAGAATTTGGAGCCTCAATGATTTAACTACACACAACATTATTCTCTTAAAAATGACAAACACTTGCTTTTTGAAGTGGTGGATTACTATTTCACTCTCATGATAATAATAGTAATCATAATCATAATAATGATGCATTGTCTGAGCTAAAAGTCTTTTCATAGATGATTGTAACCCGATGTTTGTTCACAAGCTGTGCTTCCTGTGTTTCTTCAGGTGCTGCTGCTGGACCCCGGCTGAACAACAACCAGCTGTACAAATTCAGCTACACCACTGAGGTTCTGGTAGACAGAGCCAGGGGGTCAAAAGAGGGCAGTGCTGGCTACAAGATCTCAAGTGATGTGAACGTTAATCTGGTTTGGAGAGATCAGAGCAACAAGGATGACCAGCTGATTCAACTGGCGGTATGTGGACCCGAATCTATGCTGAGAGAGGACATAATGAGATTATATCGTACATTAATTTAATGTTAACTCCAAATTCATTTGAATGAAACATTTTACTCAAGCTAGCTTGTGATAGAACAAGAAGAAAAGAAGCTTTTTGTTATAATTAATCAATCTCTCTTTAACAGATCTCAAATTTGAGGATAGAGCCTGTGTCGCCCAGATCAGAGAAAAAGAACATCCTACATGGATCCACAACCGAAAGTATTTTGGGAAAAAATAAACTAGCAGCTCTAACAAAGCCTTTCTTGGTGCATCTAAAAAATGGAAAGGTAAGAAAACCACTGTTGTAGCTTCAAAGGAATCTCTGACCTAATGTAATTGTCAGCTTTTTTGGAATGACAGTCATTATTTTCTTCTTCTCTTTTAAATGGAAGGCATGCTGATATAGGTAGTGATAGAAAGTCAGTACTGTCCTTGCAGAACTCACAGCACTGTTGCTGTCATCAGAGAGTTAATGAGTGTACTTTCATTATACTGAAGTGATGATGCTGGCAGCGGAAATACCAGACAGATGTGTGCATGCATGTGCAAAGGTCAGCTGGTTCAAAGGGTCAATAAATGAATGAATGAATGATGGAGTCTGACTAAAAGAGGGACTTTGGGCTTAAAACTTTAATAATTATTAAATAATTATTTAATAATTAAATATAATAATTATTATATGGTCTGTTTCAAAGCTTTATACTTTAGACGAGCATGAAGCGTGATGAGACTGAACTTTCATGTTGGCAGCTTGTTAAAACAAATCTAATATGACTTTGTAACCAGTTTTCATTCAATAATTGTCACATTTAACAATGTATTAAAAATGTATACATCCATCCATCTTCATCCGCTTTATCCGGGGCCG